CGGGGCCTCAATGAATTCCCTTCGGCCGACACCATTGGCCTTCACAATCACATCAAAGAAAGCCCGCAGCAAAGAGCGCTCTGTCGCAAACAAAACGTTCGAAGCCCGAAAGCACCCCAATTTATGATTTGAATCGGGTGCGTCGGAGGAGGGAAACACGCAAAACTTTCAACGTGCGGGTCCAAACGGGGACCCGACGAGGTACCCGAACCGCGTTGTCTCGGCCTCTGCCGCGGCACTTCACGTCCGCGGGCGCCGCGGCAGAGGCCGGCCGGCGTACCTTGATGTTGCGTCGGTATCCGCGCCTGAAGGTGAGGATGAGTCGCTTGAGGATGAGCTCGCCGATCTGCGGGAACTTGGAGTTGATGATGGCCACCACGGCGGCGTAGACGTGCGTGAAGATGGGAGACGCCGCCTGCGCCTGCAGCACCGAGCGCGACAGCAGACCCCTGAGCACACGCGCGCCTCCGTTTCATTCGTCCTCCTTTGGTTACCGCTTGACGTTGTGACTGATACAAGTGCTGACGTGTTCAAAATCAACCGCAAGAGCTCGCCGAGGACCGAGGACATGTAATGGAGTTGCACTTTTGGGGTTTTTTTTCCCCTTGCGTTTTCATTGGAGTGACTTTGTTTGGTTCGCGCGTCGACGAAGCGAGCGCAGGCTGACCTCCCCCTGACGATGTTCTCCTGCAAGATCTCCTGGATGATGTTGACGATGTTGGACACGTTGACTTTGTTGATCAGCCCGTTGATGGACTTCTTCAGCGCCTCCCAGCTCATCCTCTGATAGGCCAAGCTGCGCGACGGCGGCGGAGACGTGAGGCGGGCGGGGGCACAGTCTGGGCCGCAGGGCCGCCCGCGTGCATCTCGAGCGGACGGAAAGAAGCGGCGGCCTACCTGCTCTTGTCGGTGATCTGCTGCTGCATGAGCCGCAACTTGGCGGGCGGGATGTACGCGCCGCCCGTGCGGGTCAGGATGGGGTCCAGCTCCTCCTTCTTCTTCTTGGCCGGCGGCTCATTGGCGGATGCGGGCTGCGCGCGCGGGGAGCGGGACGGGCTGCGGCCGCGCCCCCGCCGGTGGTCTCGCTCCCGGCGCCGCTCGCCCGCGTAACGATCCCTGAGAAGAGACGGCCCACGTCAAAGGCCAAATCAGCCGGGTCCGATACCTTTCTGTTCCGCAACTACAATCCGAGCCTTTCATCGTCAGGGCCCATTTGTCAACGAGTAGGCTCACTCCTCAAGTTGCCGTCCGGCCTTCTTACCGAGGGTGCCGGCCTCTGTCGGAACCGTGGCGCTCTCTGGAGCGGGATCGCTCCCGTCCTCTGGAGCGTTCCGGTTCTCTGGATCCAGACCGGTCTCGCCCCCGCCGCCCGTCTGGGCTTCCGGACCCGGCCCGGTCTCGTTCCCCAGATCCGCCTGCGCTTCTGGATGGGGAAGCGTCAGGTTGTCCGACGTCGCGCGGCGGCATCTGCTCCGTGGGCCTCTGCGAACAAGCACGGGCCCATTTCCAATCATGTCATGACGATCAAAACAGGAATCTCAATCACTCCTCCTCATCATGTGAGGGTTCCGATTTCCAGACCTTTTCAGCCTTTGGGCTTCCGCTTGACGCAAAATCAAAGAGCAAGCTCCCAAAGTTGCCGCAGTCCTTCCCCGCTAAGAGCATGTGACTGTTTATGCTGCTTTTCCCCTGTTGTGACGTTATCGCGAGAGTCACTTACTTGGTCAACCGTTTATGTCAAAAGAATCTTTATCTATTTGGAGATGGGCATTTATGATCATCAAATGCCAATCAAGGATCAATTCAAGAAATTCAAAGGCCTCGTTTGGAGATTCACGGATCGGGTCCAGAAGACGAGAGCGCCCCAGGTCGGCAGAGGCCGGCAGCCTCGGGGCCGAAGATTGGGGACTGCATCATAAGTCCCGCCCCCACCCACGATGCCACACCTCTGCAGACGTTTTTGAGATGCGCGGGAACCCTGCGAGTTGGCATTTGACGCTGGAAAAACGGCGACGGTGACGAAAACGCTGTGCCGCGGGCAGCCCTGCGCACCGTGATATGAGCCACGCTACTCCGGATCTTCCTCAAGGCGACGTGATCTTCGTCCTCGCTGCTGCTGCTGCTACTGCTGCTGCCACCGTCACTGTCGCTGCCGCCGGCATCGCCATTTCCTCCTGCTCCTCTTTTCGGGCTCTTGGGAACGGAGGAATCCTGCTTGGGTGCAGTGTCCTCTTCAGACTCTGCTGAGGTCAGACACACACAAACACACACACACACGTTTGTGGAGTAGCCGTCACACCTCTAATACAGTACACTTTGCCAAAAATGTCCGTAACACTATACAGGGCTCCAGAGTGAGCCCGACAGATTTGCAAATCCATTCATCCATCCATTTTCCGATCCGCTTTATCCTCCCAAGGGTCGCGGCGAGTGCCAGAGCCTATCCCAGCTGTCTTCGGGCAGTCGGCAGGTGACACCTCAAACCAGTTGCCAGCCAATCACAGGGCACACACAGTCGAACAACCATCCGTGCTCACACGCTTCAGTGACTTTCGTCGACGCCAAATGCCTCTCCGCTGCGGAATATTAGTTCCTCTGCCTATGTTTTGACAACGTATAGAGTGCGGGTTCTTCTCAACTCCACCAGGCGCGTTGGCGTTGTCATCGTTTTAACAGAATGTTAGCTTTCTCCATAGATGCCACGGGGAAAGCATACTCGGATCAGCGGAGTTGTCTGCGACTCTCGCCGGTCTCGCGCCAAGCCATTCGACACACATACGCGATGCAGACGTCGTGGCCGCTACCCAAGCCGTCCGGAAAGCCAGCCGGTGTGCTGCAGCAAACATTATTCACGGTTGGCCGTCCGGCCATGACAATCCACTTACCGCTGTGTCGTTCGTGAGCAGGACTTGTGCTTGGAAGCTCCATTTCTGAAAGACACAAACTGACGTGACTTGTTCAGGCAGGAAACAAGGACGCGCATTTCATCAACGCTCGCACGAACATAAAATATGGGAATTGCAAACTAGGTCGGACGTGGTCGCGACTTAATGGGCAACAACTTTTGTTCTGGTTTGATTTTTGGCGTTTCGCGGCCGTGTGTTGGCCGCTGCTCAAGCTAGCAGGCTAAGGCTCGCGGCGCCAAAATGGTCTCGCTCGCAGCGACTCACCTTTCTTTTCTATTCTTCTTTAGATACAAACCCCTCGTCTTTTGTCACCTTCTTGGGCTTTTGCCTGTTTAATCGCGCTTGAAACCATCAAGTTTGTGGCTTTATTTCACCACTCCACCAGAGAGGAAACGCACCGACGGAAGATCACGAACGTCTGTCGCTCGATTAGCTTCCGGGTCAGGTTGCCGCCAGTGCCGACAAAGGCAGTTAAAAATAAAACATTTTTCATTTATTTTCCCCTTTCGAGTTAATTTGAGGAGTCTCTGTTGAAATATAATATTGCTAGCATGAAAAAAAATACATTATCGGGATTACCCCGGACAATCGTTCGACCGACTTCCGGGTCACAGTTTGGTTCCGACTCATTGTTTGCTTTCGGCTTTCACAAGCGCGAAATTTTAAGACAACAGAAACAAAATGTTGTATTCTTATTGTTGTAGTTTTCTTATCTTTCAGTCAGTCATCATTTATACGTAGTTTTGTAGTGAAGCAGTATAAACCATTTTGGTCAGCATACATTACGTTTTTTTTCCCTCCGACGGGATTCCTGTTTTTCTCAGTTTCTTTGGTGCAATTCTCAAATCAGAATTTAAATTCTTAAAACAACTTGTTCTATTTTTTCACACCACTGTGTCACATGTGTACATCAAAAAAGTAGTTTGCCATTTCTCCAAACAAGTTGCAAACGATTTCTCACATCCGCGCAAATGTCCACTTCTCTGTTGTTTGTGACCTGATCAAACGCTTGCGTCATATTGATCAAAATGTATGAGAATGGGTCTCGGTTGAATTGTCTCGCAGCCCATATTTTTGCATTGGTTCAGCGTAAAAGTCTCGACACGAAAAATGACTGAACAAGTTGTCATCATATCCGTCCATCCATTTTCCGAAGGCCCCCATCCGGGTCAAGCGTATTCCGATAAATTGCTATGAGACTTTTTTTCTTCCCTATGGCAAATCTTGACTTTTTTTAGCGAGGGGAACAGTGTAGAACATTCTTCTTCTTATTTGGTATTTGTAGCTCAGTGATGTCAGAATGCCTGTGAGGTTAAAGGTCACTCATCACATCAGTGTTGGTGGTCAGTGTGTGCTTGCGATGGTGAGAAGGTGGAGCAAACGTGACTTGAAACCAACAAAACTCCATTTTGGTTGGCTTCCTCCATAAGACTGACATCTTTTACTTTTTTATTTCAGAAGTTGAATACAATCAGCAATGTTCATGTTTTCAGAGCTTAGATCTCCTTCCTTGATGTTTGTTTGTTTAATAAAACACGATAAACAAACTACTGTGAATACTTACTTGTAATCAGTTTTTTTCATTTACAATTGCTAATTTTAAAAACGCTATTTCATTTTTTCAAATTAAAACATATTTTTTAAAAGTATCCATCCATCCATTTTCCGATCGGCTTTATCCTCACAAGGGTTGCGGGAGGTGCCGGAGCCCATCCCAGCTGTCTTCGGGCAGCAGGCGGGGGACACCCTGAACCGCTAATAATAATAATAATAATTATAATAATGGTGTAGCGGTGCACTCGTCTGAATTGTGTGTGGGCGGCGTGGGATGGGTGCAAAGGTGGGTGTAAATGGTCGTTGGTCTCTATGTGTGCCCCCGGACTGACTGGCGACCAGTTCAGGGGTAGTCCGCCTTTCGCCCAAAGTCACCTGGGATAGACGCCACCCCCCCCCTCCCGCGACCCTCTACACTGTAGTCTACAGGATAAGCGCTGATGAAATGAAATGGATGGATGGCTAATAATCATCAAAATGAAGACAGTAACTTTTGACGAAGAAGCCAAATAGAAGTCGTGACTTGATCCAACCAAGACGATGCCTTTGAATGAAAAGGAAATGAAGGAGTGCAGCAAGCGCTCTCTGACGGAATGTGTCGTGGAGCGCGAGTCACGTGACCCTACTCTGCGCTCGCGTGCAGGGGCGCTCACTCGCGCGCACGCGCCAGTCCGGCGAGACGTCGTCGTTGGCGCGAAGAGGAGAAAGAAGAGCAAGTGAAAGAAAGAAGATCCTTCCGGGTAAGGCGACTTGAGACGCACTTCCCCGAACATTTGCCACCACTTGTCGTCTTTTCTTCCTGCCCTCCGCGTCTCTCCGACACCGCGGGTGGGCGTGCGCGTGACGGCGACGCGCGCGGAAACCGTCGTCGTCGTACCGCGGTCGAGCTTGCCAAATAGTGACGTGGACCGACGGACGGGCGCTGAGCGGTGACACTTGGATGGAAGCGCCGCCGCCACATCGCGAAGGCGCGTCGCGTCGGCCAAATTGGGTGAGCGCGGCACCGACGCGCGGTGACGACGGCGGCGACGGGGCTGCAGGATCGGCACCGATTTCATCACGGCGGCGGTCAAACCCAAATCAACTTTTCATTGTCGGGACGGCATGTGACGTCATCTCCCGACCACATCCGCCCAAAGCGTGTCTCATCGCGCGAATTCAACCCGCGTCGTAACCCTAGCAACTGCCGAAACAACTTGCTCACTTCCAAATGCTGTCCCGTCGTGGGACGCGCCCGTGGAACGGGCATGTGCGGTCGTGGAAGAGGCAATGGCACTTCGTGAAACAAGCGCGATTCCATCTGCTGCGCTTGCGCCTAGTGGCGAGAAACAAGTATCGGAGTGAGAAAGGCAAAGCTTCATCCACGGCGCGCAGTAGTCGGGGGGCCCCCTGCCAAACGGTGACAGTCGCTGTCCAATCGTGAGACTGGCAGGG